CTGTCTCCTGCTCAGTTGGTGACTGTAGGGGCACAGCAAGGGGGTCCCCAAGACCCACGACCTGGGGTCCCTGCCCCTGCCCAAAGTCAGGCTGCAGACTCAGAGGGACACGGGTGCCAACTGGGCACCCAGCCAAGGGACAGGAGGGGTTGGCTCCAGGCTGCTGCAAACCCTGCATACCGTCATATCCTTTACATCTCTTGCATCCCTTGGATCCTTGACATCCCATTGCAACTCTTACATCCCATTGCACTCTCTGAATCCCTTGCAGCTTCCTTGCATGCCTTGTGTTATTAATAGCCTGCTGCAGCCCTTTAAGCATCCTTTACATCCCTTACATCCTTCTCAGCTCACTGAATTTCTTATGTCCTGCTGCATCCTTTGTGTCCCCTGCAGCCTGCTGTGTCACTTGCATCCTGTGCATGCTTTGCACTCCCCCCTTGCAGCCCATGGCCCCTGCACACAACTCCCAGTCAAGCCCACACACTTGCAGTCTCCTCCGAGGTCATTTTTGCTTATGAAGCCCTGTGCAGTGACCTGGAGCACCTGCACCAGTCAGCTGGGAGCCTCTCTGGCCAGTCCAGGGGAAGCAGCTCCTGCCCCTTGCCCAGGCTCACCAGGCAGGGTGCTGTCCATGGGGTGATACAGAGCTGTCACCTCAAACAGACCTGACAGCCTTCTCTCTGCAGGTGGCAAAGTCATGAGGTGCTCCTGAGCTGCTGAGCCACAACCCACGTGAATTTGCCCTGGCTGAGCATCCATGTCCCATCCCAGGAATGATGTGCACTCAGGACACGTGGCTGCGGCATCTCCTCTGAGTCCCCATGGAACTTGGCCCAGACAACCAAAGCCTGGACGTGTTTTCTGACATGTTTCCAATGATGCACACTACCCTTCCAGCCCAGTAGCCCTTGGTCTCCTAACTACAGCAGCAGCCAGCCGGCAGGAGAGCGTGTAGGCTTCACCCAGCACCTCTGAGAGCCAGTGACCACCTCGATCCAGGTCTTATTTTAGCTGCAGCTCAGGGGTGAAGTTCCCGTTCAGATATTCAGCTCCAGAGGCCAGAGCAGGGGAAACACTTTTACTCTGCAGTGTTTAAATTGGAATAAATCCGGTGAGCCTGAGGCTGAGGCTCTGGCAGTCCCAGCCATGCCCTCCCCTTGCCTGGGGGATGAGGGGAGGGCCCCAAGTGGTCTGAAAAAGGAGGGAGCAAGGCTGGGGACAGGTGGCAAAGCTAGTGCAGTGGGTGACCATGCAGCCAGTGCAGGGTGGAGTCAGAGGGCGGCTGCTGGAGACCCTGCCCCAGAGGGCTGGTGCAGCTCTTAGAGGATCCAAAGAGGAGTTGGAGGAGACTTGAGGAAACTATCCAAGCCAAGCTGGCTGAGGAGAGACAGATCCAGCCTAGAGGAGAGGAGCCCCCCAGACCTGGCCCTGCGGGGGCTTGCTGCTTCAGGAACACCCTGGCTCCAGCCCTGGCTCAGGCGCCAGCCAGGGACTAACTGCAGGCACCGTGGCTTGGGCTGAGCCACAGTCCTGCGCCAGCCCAGGCCATCTCGGTTCATACTGAAGCCATGGCAGCAGAGCCACTGCTGGGATGCTTGCCAGCTCAGCCCAAGGAGCAGATGATGCTGACCTGTCCCTGAGTCCACAGGAAAGGCAGGAAAGCTATGTTTGGTGCAGAATTGGCAGTGCATCGGCCGCTTCCAGTGACAGCTGGCTGTCCGGTGACACCACAATCACCAAAGGTTGGGGAGGCCACTCCCAGCTCTGGAGTGGTGACTCAGAGCCATGGTGATGTGGCAGCTCTCCCAGGGACTCCAGGCTTGGACAGACATCTCCTGCAGGAAGGCGTGTGCTCAGGGTTCTTGGGGATTATTCCCCATGGCAATATACCCCCATACATCAGGCTCCACAGACACTCCATTCCTGTTGTATTTCTTGTCCCCCTGCTTCCACCCAGCCTCCTCTGCACCAGCAGCATGAGGAAAGCCCCACAGCTGGTTTGGGGGCTCAAGAAGCAGCAGCAGGACAAGATCAGCCACAGATTCCTCTGTACCAAGGCAAGGAACATCTCTCTCTCCCAGTGCAGAGATCCCATGACCATGAGCACCCAATTGTGGCCTCGTCCTGCCCTGCAGGAAAAGTCCCATTGGGCTCTTTCCCAGCCACTCTCTCACTCCATGGTGGGGGTGACAGGATGAGGAAGGACAGAGGAGCTTTCTCAGGTCTGTCTGTCCCTTCACAGTTCAATTCAGGCTTAGTTAAGGCTCTTCCTGGGCATCACAACCCAACTGCAGGGTTGTTTCTGCTCTCAAGCCCCTGGGTCCAGCTGCCGTGGTTTTGTCCTTGGTGCTGGCATGTTCTAGGGAGCTCAGGAAGGACCTGTTTTTCCTCCACCCACTCTGTGTCACCTGAGCTGCTTGTGGCACCACTGCAAACACTGTTAGCTGGCCAGGGACTATCCCACTTCAGCCTGAACCCACCCCCCAGGAGTCTCCTGCACATCCCAGCATATCTTGATGTATTCCCTGCCCAGACATACAGAGCACGGGACACCCCAGGTCACTGTGCTCTCCAACCCCAGTCCCCATATGTGCCACCCACCCATCTCTCCTGCATTCCCAGAGCCAGCCTAGGGCTGCAGATTGTCCGCAGTGGCTGTCCCAGCTGCAGTCCAGCTCACTGAGGTCCTTCCTCCAACCCAAACTCCATGTGCCTCTGTCCCCATGGCACTGCCGGCAGAGGACCCTGTCCCAGCTCCATCCCCACAGAGAGCTCGCCCTGCATCCCCAGCAGCATCGTGGCCCAGCAGCGATCCCAGTGCAAAGCCCGGCCAGGTACCTCTTGGAGCACACACCGGCTCCGATCCCTGCCTCCCTGCGGGAGCCCCAGAATCCCAGCGTTTGTGTCGCCAGCCCTGCAGGCTGCAGAGGCAGCGCCCAGAGCTGCCGGGCTAATGAGAAATGCATGGGACCCACATCTGGTAGCGATTGAGCCGGGAGCAGCGCTGGGAAGGGAGGAAGTGCAGATTTCCTGCAGCACAAAGGAAGGGAGAGGAATGTCCGTGGCAGAGCAGAGGCCCCAGCAGCCCCCTCCCTCACCTCCAGAGGGGTGCACAGGCAGCAGGAGGTGCTTGCTCCCCGCTGGCACTGCTGGAGAGTGTTCCTGGGCATGTGCCCTCCTCTTCCCTGGGCTGAGCCTCTCTCAGCTGCCCGGCCACCCCGCTTTCCACCCGCAGGGATGCACAGGCTCCCCAGGCCTGTCCACAGCCATGGCACACACTGCCAGAGCCTCCTCACCTCCCTCCAGCCTGCTGCTGCTCAGGGGCCCCACAGCCAGACACCCCCAGGCTTGAAAGCCCCTCAAAACAGCCTTGGGCAGGGAGCAGAAGCCCAGTGAAGCCATGAGAGCACTAAAGGCAGAGGCTGCCTTTACTGCTGACACTGAAGGGGACAAGGCAGGTGGCCCTGATGCCCTCACCAGTACAGGCAGCAGTGCCAGGGGAGGCAGCTGGTCTGGTGGTGTTTCAGGTGAAGCCTTTGTCACCATATCTGAGAATTACTGGCTGTCAGTGGGATTTTGGGTTGTGCTGCTGGGGGTATTCCCCAGAACAGCAAAACTCTGTGACAGCAGGTGACACACAGAAGGGGATATTTAGCAAAAGCTGCCATCAAATCTTCATGGAGGAGTATGACAAAGTGTTGGGCATGCTTTCATCCTGATCCAGGCCATTGCCCCAGTCGCAGCTGGGCAGCACAGCTCACAGCTCTGTTTTAAAGGACCTGTTACCCAGCAGCTCAGCAGAGCCTGCAGCACTCAGCCTTTCGCTGCTCCAGTACAGCAAAACCTCGTGGTGGTTCTGAGGAAATCATTCCATGGAGGTGTTGCTACCAGGCTGGGGGAAAGATGGGCAGGGGACAGGCTGGACAGATGGACACAGCAGGGTTAACTCCATAAGGTCTAAGTAGCCCAGACATAGAGAAATCTGCAGTCAGCCCACCCAAAGCCTCTCCAGCATCTCCAGGGATTTAGGGATCCTTGAATGGAAATTTAAGGCACTGAACTGGGGGAAAGAAAGTAATTTCCATTCAGGGATGTTTTCAGGATACCCTGAAATTTTGCTGGAGATACTCTGTGTTCTTCTCTCTGCTACTTCCAGTCCCCCTGAGCAGCAGTGCAGCTTCTGTAGGCTTTGAAGTCCTATTAAATCCAGTCTTTTTAAGGCATTTTTAACCCATTTCAATGAATCTTTCCTCTTACTAATTCAAGACAGGAACCTTTTCCTGTGCTCTACTGCCATGAATGCACAGCTCATCTTTCTCCACTTCTCATTTCCCACACCCCAGCATGCACGGAAGGACCCATCACCATCCCAGCATGCAACAGTGTGTTTTCAGGGATTGGAAGGGATCTGGGCAGCCGCCTTATCCTTCCCAAGGCATCCACAAACATTGCCCAGCACGACCCTGGCACAGTGTCCACAGAGGATGCTCCCCGCTCCACAGGCTGGAATGACTTCACAGAGTGCAATCCCACAGTGCTGGGGATACACCACATTTTTGGCCGTGGTTGAAGCCACCCTGTCACCCACTTTTGACTCATCCACTCCAAAGCGGACAAATTACGTCTGAAACGCTCCTGATAAAGTAATTTAAAACATCTGTAGCTGCTTCCAAGCTGGAGCAGGGGGATAGTCCGAGATTCCTCCCCGAGCATCCCATGGGGCGGAAACCGCCTGGAAATCCCCGGGGGGGTCCCGGGGGGGTCCCGAGGCTGTCGGGAGCGGCAGGGAGCGGGACGGGCGGGAACCACGAGCGGGAGCGGCAGGGAGCGGGGTATGGGCGTGGTCACAGGGAGGAACTGGGTCGGGATTGGCTGATTCCGGGGGCGGGGCTTGTGAAGGCCAGAGGGGCGAGGCTTGAGCCTCTCGGGGGCGGGGCGGGACGATGGAGACGGGGAGGGGCGTCCTGCGCATGCGCAAATTGCGGCAGGAGGGCGAGACCGCGCGGTTCTGCGCAGGCGTAGATTGCAAGAGGGCGGTGGGGGTGAGGGAGCGGGCGGGGACCATGGCGGTGGCGCGGCCCGGTGGGTTCGAGGCGGCCGAGCAGCAGCAGGAGGTGCTGTCCCGGCAGCAGGAGCGGCACTACCGGCTGCTGGCCGAGTTGCAGGCACTTGTCAAGGCGCTGCCCAGGTGAGCGGAGCCCGAGGGGGGCCGGGGGCCGCTGCCGGTGCCGGCGCTGACCCGGTTTGTGCCCGCAGCGCCTGCCAGCAGCGCCTCTCGTACACGACGTTGTCCGAGCTGGCGCTGGCGCTGCTGGACGGGACCGTGTTCGAGATCGTGCAGGGGCTGCTGGAGATCCAGCACCTCACCGAGAAGAACCTGTACAGCCAGCGGCGGCAGCTGCACAGCGAGCACCGCGGTACCGGGGCCACCGTGGGCGTAGTCCTGGGCCACTGGGGGGAGCGGAGAGGGGAGCGCTGGGGCGAGGGCCGCAAGGGCGGCCGGCCTGGGGCACGTGAGGGGAGGGACAGCTCGAGAGAAATGGGGGAGGCACTCCAGGGAAGTGATGGGGATCCTCCTGCGGGGGGAGAGGGGCCTGAGGCAGCTCTGGGGTGGGGAGGAGTTTTGGGGGGTACTGGGGGGTGGGACG